GGCATTTTACCTTACCTTGTGTTAATGTACAGTTAATTTTGTTGTAGGATTAATTTCAAACAAAATGGGCAGAAAAGAATAGAGAAAAGACAGAGTGCAACACGACATTAAACAAAGGAAGGAAGTGGACTATCAAGAAATTGAATAATAAAAGAGGAAAGGGAGAGACTTGCGGACTGTGTGGAGAAAGAAGAATAAGAAAATAAATAAGAGGGGAGACATGGAATGATGGAGGAATAAAAGGAAGAAGAAAGGAATGGCGGAAAGAAAAACTGACAGAAAAGAAAAGAAAAAGCAGGGGAGAAGAGGGGAGACACGGGCGGACTGGCGGGACGTGAGAAACAGAGAAGCACAGAAAAACTGTGCGGAAGAAAAAGAAAAAAAAAATATAGAAGGAAGGCACGGCAGCAGATAAAAACCGAGGGGGAGAGAGTCGCAGGAAGAGGGAAGCAGCAGAGCACAGAGGCACGGACGCACGGCAGATCTTCTTTTCTTGGTTTTATCTTCTCAAACCTATGTTTTACTTTTGGTTTAATTTGAAAATAATGTGTAACTAAATTTATTTTGGCTAGAGGTTAATTCAAAGCCATGAATATATTTGTAATATGAATTGATTACCTTCAGTTATGATTTCTGAGTGATTTAATTTGCTTAACTGCTTGATTAATAACTTATTTTTGTATGTCGATTAAGAATGCATACTTAATTTACATGCATGAATTTGACGCTAGAATATAAGGGAGTTTCACCTAATCGTTATAAACTTATATTCACAAGTAGTGAAGGTTGCTAGTCACAATCACGTTAAGTAAACTCTTGGCATAAGTTTCATGCAAATCATAGTTACGAATGCCTCGTCAATACTTATAGTTTTCACAAAGTTTAATGATCTTTGATTGTATCTCTATTGTGCTTTTCACGTAGGGGACTTTTGAAGAATGTTTTGAATTGTTGTATGCGTTTTTCCGTCCAATTCAATAACTCAAGGAAAACTTGAAGATTAAAAAAGTACTGTTCACGGTTAATCTGAAGTATTGAGATTTACAATTTATTGAAAGAACAACTAAAAATCAATTTAGGTTGCATATGTGTCATGTGTGGAGAAGAACCCTCTAGCTAGTCCATCACCTATCCTTTCACCTTAATTTCATGCTTTTGTCAATTCTGTAATTTATTTAAGTTTAATTTACTTCTCGTCAAAACCAAACCCCCCCCCCCCCCCATTATTAAATTATATTATTTAGTTAGTTTTCATTGTTGTTAGTCTTTTAATTCAATTTCCGTCCATTTCAGTTCCTAGTGTCTAATTTGATTGTTTTCATTATTTTGAGTCATTCTAAGTGTGTTTCGAGTTATTAGAGTTTTTAGCCTAGTTTTGTGTCCTTGAGTCTTGTTTAATATTTTTAAATTAATTTAGAATAGATTAGCAATCCCTCCTAATCCCCGGCCTAGAACGATACCCTACTTACATCTATACTACAATTGTAAAAAAGAGGGTTAATTTGTGTGTTCACTTATTTTACGCATCATCCATCATGTTGCTTCTTTGCATCAAATTGAAGATATCTTCACCAAATCCTTGTCTGCAGATAGGTTTGTGGATTTGACTTCCAAACTTACAGTTAGATCACCTACCTTTAGTTTGAGGGGGTGTGTTAAGGATAAAGAAGGTCCACCAGATTAAATCTTAGCTTAGCTATTAAGATAAGGTTGTTAAGAAATGGAGTTGGTTGACTGCCAATATTGTAATGTATTTATACATGTGTGTACTCATTCATTCATATATGAACACAACTTTAATTACTTTCTCTCTCTACAATTTTCCTCTCCCTCTCTATCTTCAATTTCCCTCAGAATAATGAGTTTCTACAATACGAGACCATTCTTGGCATATGAGGTTCTAATAGTGCCCAAGACATACTTGTTTTCCTGAAATCCGATTCTTATAATTAAGCAATGAAGTTGTTGTGGTTCTAATGCCAATAACGACTAAGAACAGCTGAAAATGTGAACTCACTTGGTAGGTAACCCAAATGAAGCATTTCTTGCAGTAACAATATAGAAGCAGGCAAATAGATATTAAAGTAGGGAACTTTAATGAAAAGGGCTTGGACTAAGTTTATTTTAACAAAAAGCCATGCTATAAACTTTATTTAATGAAAAAGAATTAAATTTTAATGAAAAACCCTTAAATTTTAATAAAAAGGACAAAAAAAACTTAATTTTTAACGAAAAGGACACAATTTAAAAAAAAACAAAAAAAAAACAAAAAATCTGACGCGCGCACAGTACATGTACACTGTTTATGAAACTGAACACTGTTTATAAAACTGAACACTATTTATGAAACTGCACTATTTATGAAACTGAACGGTACTATACTATTTATTGGTTCAATTTTATAAATAGTGTCTAGTTTTTTGTCCACTTTCATAAAATGATTTCTAGTTCTTGATCATGTTTCATAAATAATGCCTAGTTATTGGTCCAGTTTCATAAATAATGTATAGTAATTGATACAATTTCATTAATATTGTCTCTTTCTTGGTTCGGTTTCATAAATAGTGTCTAGTTATTGGTCAACTTTCATAAATAATGTCTATTTCTTGGTCATAATTCATAAATATTGTCTAGTTCTTAATTCAGTTTCATAAATAGTGTATAGTCCAGTGTTCAAATTATGCTTAATTCTTGTTTTCGTTTCATAAATAGTGTCTATTTATTGGTCTAATTTCATTAATAATGTCTACTTATTGGTGAAGTTTTATAAATAGTGTTTAATTCTTGGTTCAGTTTCATAATGTTTGAAACTTAGACCCTTATTGGTCAAGTTTTATAAATAGTGTTTAATTCTCATTAATTATATTTAAAAAGCTGTTTTCAATTACCAAATTAAAATTTCCTCACTTTTTTCATATACCTACAATAATAAATGTAGCTTTCCATCCAATTTCTTGAGCTTAGGTGTCATCTTCGAGAAATTTTTCCTTGTGCCCGTAACACAAATGATATACCACATGTTATTATATAAGTGTGGTAGAAAATTTTATTTTTTATGTTATTAAATTTTTAACACAAGATTCTCACAACTTGTATGGAGTGCTGTGTTCTGGGTACATTGAAAAGTTTCTCATCATCATGATTACTATTAGAAAACAACACCACAAAAATAAAACAGGATAATGTAATTCAATTCGAAGTTTTTTTTTTTAATTCTTTGCAAAAAAAAAAACAACTATTAATGTAGCTAAATGATGGGACAAAAGGTAGGAGAAAAAAAGTGGACTGGGGTGGGGGGGGTATACGCCCAGTACTAGTGGGTTTGTTATGTTTTTTTTTTTTTTTAGTCTTTTGTCCTTATTATTAAAATAAGGTTAGTGGGTGATTTTTTATTAAAATGTAAAGATTTGAAGCCCTTTTCATTAGTTTTTCTATTAAAGTATCCCCAAATCAAAGCATTCCAGGAAACCACATTTTTCGCATATATCTCATTAAAACAGCGATGGGCATTGTTTAAGTTACTACAGTTAACATAAAAGTCAATCAGTGCACTACCTACAAAAACATTAGATTCAAAAGCATTATGGATTATCTTAGCATGAAAAGACTCGCCATAGCACGGCAGCTCCAAATGGTTACAATAGTTTATACGGCTGACAAATGTGATCTCACTAGGCAATACTGCATCCATGGACATTTTGGAGAAGAATTTGAGTGCTTTCCAAGATCTCTCAGTTTTTGCTACTGCACCAATGAAAGTATACCATGATACAACATCCTGAATAGTAGCCTCATCCAAAACTTTCTCAGCCGAGCATATGTCAGTGCATTTCACGTACATACTCATAATAGAATTCACCACAAGAATTTCACACTTAAAACCATTCTTTATGACTAAAGAACGCAGTTGTTCCCCAATCCCAAGTCCTGTTGGCATGAAAATGCCCAAAAAAACACCCACAAAAGAACCTACAGACAAAGTATAATTCTTTCTCGCAAGTTCTCGAACTAACACCACACTATAATCAGCAAACCCATGATTCCCAAGCACAGATATCACTGAATTCCATGTGACCAAGCTCTTACAAGGTATATCTTCAAATGCCCTAACCGCTTCCTTTAACAACCCATGCCTTCCGTAAAAACCCAACAACGAAGTCCCCACAAAAGCATCGACATCAAACAGACCATTCCTTATTACCAAAGAATGCAACTGAACCGCATGATAAACATCCAATGACCCACATGTCAACAACCCACCAAACACATACTGAGTTAGTTCAAACCCATAACACCTCATCTCAGAAAACATTCCCCCCAAGCTTCCCCTACGTACCCGCATCTACTGTAAGCACTAATTATGATATTATATGACACAGTGTTTCTATCAGGCAGTTTGTCAAACCATTGACGTGCAACTGACAATTCTCCAAGTGACAAATACCGGGACATGATGTTGTTGCAAACAAAAATGGGTTGGGTCAGAGATGGACCCATTGTGATGCTGAGAGCTTGGAGTGATTTTGTTGCTCTAAGGGACTGAACCCTTGAGCATGCTCGCAGTAGTTGCAGAAGACGTTTGTCTCGTTGCACTTACGAAATCTTCATGCGTGCTTATGCAGTTGGAAGCAAAATTTCTTTCACACTCCCCAAATTTCTAAATTCAGTCACATAGACAGAAATGAACCGAGAAAAACAAAGTATAGTTACTTACAAAACACAATCTGAATCAAAAACTGACTATAATCAAGGATTTAAATTTCAGTTTTGGTAGATATTTTGGTAGCCCATTTGTAGAAAAATATCGAAAGATATATCGTCTTTGTGGAAATATCGGTAAAAACAAAATAATAGAAAGTAGCAATAAAAGCATACAAATCATCTTTGAAACTTACAAACCCTAAAACTAACAAATAATGCACCCAGTTAACATATAAAATTTGTAACATAGTTGACTCACAATAAATTTGCTTCTCTCTCTCTCTCTCTCTCTCTCTCTCTCTCTCTCTCTCTCTCTCTCTCTCAAAAGATTGGACCATGCCTCCATAGAAGGAAAGGCCAACCGAAATTCCACTTGAGTTCACGACAATACACCAAAATACCACTGAAACTTCAACAGAAATTTCCACAAATTTCCTGATTTTGGGAGACATTAAAAGAAAACACAAATATTTTACCGATATCGCTGAAAACACAAATATATTCCAATGACATTCGGAGAAGTTCAAGAAAGATGTCTTAACCCCTATCAATTATCGGAACCCTGATTTTACCGATATATCAACCGAAATATCGGGACCGTTGGCAATTTTTAAATCCTCGACTATAATAAGCCTCTAGGCGTGTTTACCAAACCGAATTTGAAATGAAAGAATCGGAATTGCACTGTTTCCAAGTCATTCCGTTGTTTACTAAAATTTTAGGATAAAAAACATACCCATATAAAATCCGGAATCACACTCCAGAAATTCTCAGATTTGGATTCCTAGGAGGGACTTGGTATTTGGATTCCTAGAGAAACTCTCCATCCGGATTCCAACTTTTATACCGAAACAACCTTCATGATTTTTGGCTAATCGGAAGTATCCCAACAACTTCACCTTTCCAACCCATCACACAGTCCTGCAATTTCATATTTTTCAACTAATCAAAACAATTATGAGAATCAAGTTTCTAACAAAACCCAGAATGAGAGAGAGATATGGGCTCCTACGCACCCTTCTGTTTTGAGAACCCAAGAGGACGGAGAACTTTTTTTTTTTATCCCTGAGGACGAAGACCTTCATGTTCTGAGAACCAAAGGGGGCTCTAACCTCTTTTCTTCTTACTACTTATTGCAATTTATTTTTCTCTTTAATAAATTACTTTTATGAAATGTTTTTTTTATCTTAAAATCAAGTAGAGATAGATCTACTTCTACAGGGTAACAAAATGTAAAAATATTTGTTAAATGTTTGCCCTTTGATCTTAACTCCTAACTAAAATGTTATTGAAAATAAATATAGGATAAAATTGTTAGGTTTTTGGCTCATCAAATATGTCCTAGTTGGTTTAGGATTGTTTTAGGAAACCTAGAGGTATATACCGATTCTTGTCCTAGAGGGATTAGGAAAGAATTTCAGTTTCCTTATTCAATTTAGGTTTGGACTTCTAGAAGTCTATTTGGATTTGGATAGTGTAATTTCCTAGTCCACTTAGAAATAGGAATTCAATTAACCTTGGGACATGTAAGCCAACCCTATATCTATAAATAGGGTGCGGCAAGGCTGTTTTTATAGAGAGAAAGAAAACAGTCAGACAATCAAGAGTTTTGAGATTAGTTCTAGGGTTGTCAAAAGTTCTGTAATCTCTATTATTAATCAAAGGAGCGGTGATTTCTCTACCTAGAGAAATCACAACTGGACGTAGGCAAAAGTTCTGCCGAACTAGTATAATTCTTGTGTTTTTCTAAGTTTTCTAATATTTGTTAATTTAGTCTATTGCCGTTGGTTACATTAAAGAACAGGGTCTAGTGTGCGGGTTTTTTCAACAAAAATAAAACAAAAAATAATAAGGGTATTTCAGTAATCATATTGATTTATATTCTGATTCATCTGAATTAGTAAATAACTTATATGAACTAAAGTTCATTCATATTCCGATTCCAGAACATTTAAATAAACAGTTTCAACAGTAATTTGATTATGATTCCTCCTAATTCCAACGCCTCCTCAATTCAATCTCTCCTCAATCCAATTCCTTTTATTTTGATTACGGTTAAGAAAACAAGTTAAGTGTGATATATTCAATTATCTGGTTCTGATTCCTCCTAATTCCAACACCTCCTCAATTCAATCTCTCCTCAATCCAATTCCTTCTATTTTGATTACGGTTAAGAAAACAAGTGAAGTGTGATATATTCAATTATCCAGATATTTGCACTGCAGTTCTTACTTGGGCAACATCCTGAACTAATTTGCAAACTTTAGTAGCATAACAATGAATTTGTCATTTTACATCAGTTACTGAGACAACATTTGCCAATGAATTTTTTGTTAAGTGGAATTTCACTTGTAAGTAGAAGCACTACTAGAATTTTGGCTAGAGGACACCATTTTCATTGGTGTCTATTATAAAGATTGGCCACTGACATTGGTGGCAAACCTCAATTGCCACCATGCAGCCACCAAATTGGAGTGGGTGTCCTACGTAGACATCTCTATTGTAACAATAGCTACCCTTAATACATTGGTGGCATCTGAAAACAGTGCCACCCTAAATCATTGGTGTCAAAGTTGCAAATGGTGTTTTTTAAAAAAAAAAGGATGCCTCGTATGTTACAGGCACCCAGATTGCAATTTCATATTTCTTTGTTTTTTTTTTTTGGTGAGAAATCAAATTGTAATATCATTGATATAAGAATACAACTACAAAGTTGCATAACTGATCATTTATACAATTTTGCACAAATGTTGGTAAAGATGAGTGGTAACAAATAGACTGGAAATTTATAATCAATAAAGGTCTAAATGACAAAAGCTTCCCTTACCGAAATCACAATTCTGTTACAAGATTAAGTTACTTTAGACTTACATTTGCACGACTTTAACTTATCCAAAGTGCTCGCTTTGCAAATCCTTGTAAAATCTTTGCTCCACACTATTAGTGATCTGCGGGGAGAAAATGGAAACACGTGAGATGGAACATAGAAAGAATTTCTTTTATAAGCATGCACTTAAAGCAAAAGTATAGAATTGGACATGAACATGATTTTTCCTATTACAACTAATTTCAAAACAGAAATTGTCCTCATATTTTCTTTTATAAGTAAGCTAAATCAATTTCTAGGTGATTACGTGCCCTTAGAAAAAAGAAAGAGATAGACATGCATCGACTCTTACATTGTAGATCATATTACATTTGTGAAAAGGAAGAGAGACCTCACGGATTGCAGTGCCGAGAAAATGACCTTTGTCATCATCCAACATTCCAGCAGTCAATTCCAATATGATTTAAATTAATTATTTGTTTCTGTTGGTTTACTGGGAGGAGGGTGTTGCTAGATGTTCTTGTAGAATGCTAAAAAAATTATAATAACAGAAAAACCGTATATTAAAAAAAAAAAACATAACTAGAGGTTAAGTTTTTTATTTTGGGATTAAAAGATGATTCTATACAGATTATATTATAGCTTGGCAAGAAATTCAAAAATTATAAGAGTCGCAGATTTGCATATAAAAACCACATAAACTGCATTAATATTTCAAGATAAACCAAAGCCTCCACCAGAGAAACAATAAAAAAGTTCATATCTAAGATCTAAACATTATGCCACATCTATGGCTGCAAGGTATAATTCAACAAGAAGAGTCATTAGAGTAGGCTTCTAGTTTTCTTTACCTCTTCAGGCATAAGTTACAAAATAATGCTACATTTTATTTTGGGAGCACTCGAGAAAAAAGTTGTAATGCTTTCCTTGCAATTTTCTATACTATCTGCCTCATATTGTATTTTTCACTTTATTAAATTTGTTGCTTCTTATCCTAAAAGAAGATCACCATGAGCCAAAGACCATGTTCCAAAAAAAAATCCAATCCCTTGCGTCATCAATTAACTTCATGCACCAAGAATGAAATGAGTACCTGCTTAAGTCTTGCCTGAGTCCTCTCGGCCTGCAATAAAAAGATATTGTTACAAAATGGAATATGAAATAAATAAGGCAACAAAGGAGAGCAAGTACAACATAGACACCTCCCTGTTTGGTGGCATGTTTAGATGTTTACTATAGTTAGTTAGTTATTTTGAGTTTGGAAATCTATTTGGCCTGGCTGGTTAGGCCTCTAGCTCTGTTTGTTGTACTTTGGGGACTGCTTTGTAGTCTGTTATTAATAAATTTCCTTCTTTCAGAAGAAAAACAGGTAAAATGCAAACATAGAATTACAAGGTCTAAACATCAACTTGAAAAACCAAAATATCAAAATCAGATAACTTAAAAGAAAAATATAGCTCCCCCACATACTCATGAACCCAGGCATCATGCACAAATACAAGAAATCCAAACCCATTCCTCATTTCAAACCAATAGGCAGTCTGAAATATAGGCCATTGAACCAACAATCATATTGGGCATTCAAAAAAGTAATCTTCTCACCTTATCTCTAATGAAGCTTTAAACCTTCTCCTGAATGATCTCATATGTGCTTGGTTCCTCAACACTCCCAATGTGCTTGAATAATGCTGTCAAAGAAGTTGTGCATACAAGAAGATGAGGCACATTATGAAAGAGAGAGATTTCGATGATCCTAGATGTATCAATTGTTGAACATAAGGCTAGTAATAAAAATACATAAATCTGCATAAAATGTGTATGCGTTTGTACATATATACATATTTACTTATAAATAAAAATGCTAACTTACAATCTGATGTAATGAAACATCAGTTAATTTGTAAATAAACATGTAATCTGTAATCGTGCACCATCACTTAATTTGAAGAGCACAAATATACCTTTAACATCTTGCCTCAAAAGGGCAAGAAGTGCTTTATGCACAGCATCATGCTCCACAAATTCCTCTAAAAGCATCAACAAAGCCCAACATCAGACTTATATTACACAACCACCATACTCCCAGGATCACAATTCCTAACAAAGAAAGGAAAAAAAATTACCAATGTGTTGAGGTGTAACATATGCCAAGAAATAGAAAGTTAATTAATTAATTTACAATTGATTAATTAATTAAAAATGATGGGAAGCAGTCGGTTGAAACAGGTAGAAAATGGAGCAGTTCCTCCCCCACTTTCCTCCAACGTGCAAAAGAGGAGTTGAAAAAAAAACTGCCCACTATTTCCACGGTGTTTCACAAATAAGTTCCACAAACTCAAGTCTATAGAAAGACCTGAAACGGATTCAGAAGGGGGACAGAGAGGACAGCGGAGGAAGAAAACAACAAAGTAGAGCACAGCAAAATGCTAAAAGAGAAACGGAGAACAACTACAGGAGACAACCTTGATTCACCTTCTTCGTCCCCAATCTTCGACATGCATACAGAAAATGGAATTAAAATTCGAAATCTAGAATCTATCCAAAAACTGAAAGCTTTTATTTTGAGAAAGCACTTACACTAGAGAACAGCCCATGAAGAGAGGATCATTATTACCTCTTTGGTTGAGGTCCGATTTCGGCAGACTTCGCCGGAAATTGGCCGGATAACCCGCGGTCGCCGTTTCTTAGATCTAATTTTGAGGAAATTTGGCTTCGAATTTGTAGAAACTAACTTGGGGGTTGGAAAGAGGAAGGGAAGAGAATTTTGGAGGCATAATTTTACGGTCATTGGTGACCGGGGGACGGCGGCGCTGCTACATGAGAGGGAATAGGGAGAGAGAGGATACCAGAGGGAGCAGAGAGAGAAAAAAGAAATAAAGAAACTTCAAAAATATCTAAACAGACAAAACAAAAGAATAAAAAACAGTAATATTATTCGTAACATGTTTTTATATCACATTTCTATACCATATTAGATGGCATTTGATGTGGACAGCCACATCATTTGAAAAATTTGCAAAACCCAAGGAAATGAAGGAGAAAGACTCCTTATATACAACAATCATCATTTAATTAACTAGTTTTTCTTAATTATTAGTTTATTAAATAATGAACTAAATTTAAAAATCTGATTAATTCAAATGATGTACCTGTTCACATCAAATGTTATCTAAGATGGTATAAAAATATGGTAAAAAAACATGATATGAATAACATTACTCAATAAAAAAATATGTCTATAGATGAGTTTGGCATCGATGCACAAACTCGAATACATCTATTTGAAATTGTCAAGGAAGAGGAAAGTAAAAAATTGCCAAAATTCCAATTGTTAATCACATTTCTATAAGCCACACTGATTGTAGTGGCCTTATTTCAAGGCCCACAGATAATAAACTTAAGTGATTATAGAGTTAAGAAAGGCACGAATCTTCCTTAGTGTGTAAAGAAGGGTGTCCTATAGCCCTTTTTCTAGTAGTGAAGGTTTTAGGTTTGACTCCTATAAATGGCAAGTTTGATATCTAATTATTACGTATTATGTGATTTAACCCAACACCCCACACCAGAGCGTAAAAAAAAAAAAGATTTCATGTAATTACTTTGCTACATGATGATAACTTATAGGGTTGTTTTATTAGCACCTCACACATTGATGAATACACCTCACATAAAATTTTAATATCAAATGCCTTATATGCCTAATATGAAATTACTTATATGCCCTAATTCTTATTTTTCTCACTACTTTGTTTTTGGGTTATTCTAATCATCCGTTTTTGAAAATTTGCCAATAATTTTTTGTTCAAATTGATTAAAAACCCTGCTCTTTTTTGGAAATTTTGGTGTTGGATATGTTGGAAATTCGCCAATATTATATGTATCATGTACTGTGTAGATGCAAAATTAATTTCAAGAAATAGAAATAGAACTCAACAGTCTGTTCTTAATTAAGTATTCTATTTGCTTGATGTGTATATTAACGTTGCAAATATATGTGATGGCAAAAGAAGTATTCATGCAAAGAGAAGAAACTTTAGATCATGTTTGGTCTGATAATTAGAAGCCTAATTAAGGAAACAAGTGACTCGGTGAGTTCATAGGGCTAAGGGCAAAGGAGTAGCCAACAAGTGCATCTCCTTAGAATGGCTAGTGGGGATTAAGGGCCTATGAAGATGGGTGAGAGAAATTTTTATACATTAGTTTTCTATTTCATTTAAGTATGATGAATGATTTATTGATGGCAAAGAAAAGTAACCACAATGCAACGGAATTGTGGGGGTGGCTTAGCTATTTTGAGAAATGAAATATACTTAAAAAAATGTTAAAGTAATTTGCTTCTAAAAAGAGATAACGATAATCTCTTATAATTCAAGTTTTAAGGTATTGAAAGGTTGGAGATCGTCTTCTAGCAAATACCTTAAATGTGGGGGAGTTTACTCAAGTGTAATTAGCAAATTACTTACCAAGTCCAAACACATTGAAGGAATTACGTTGCAAAACAACTACTCTCGAATGAAATATAATTTCATAAATGGAAGTGTGCACCATAAGAGATAGTCATCAACATGAGTTTTCTATTTCTTTAAGTATGATGAATGAATTATTGATGGCAAAAAAAAGCAACCATAATGTAACGGAATTTTGGGGGTGGTTTAGCTATTTTGAGAAATGAAATATACTTAAAAAGAATTAAAAGTAATTTGCTTCTAAAAAGAGATAATGATAATCTCTTATACTTGAAGTTTTAAGGTATTGAAAGGTTGGAGATCTTCTAGCAAATACCTTAAATGTCAGGGAGTTTACTCAAGTGTAATTAGCAAATTACTTACCAAGGAATTACGTTGCAAAACAACTACTCTTGAATGAAATATAATTTCATAAATGAAAGTGTGCATCATAAGAGATAGTCATCAACCTAGTTGATCCAATTATTAAAGGTTTGACTAGAGAGTACATTGTATCATCAAGAGGAATGGATTAAAAGCCTAAGTCTTAAGAATCACCACAATGGCAACCCAACCTAGCTGACTGGAGATCCCAAGATCTGGGTTCAAAGGGACAACCGAATTGTGGATGATTCAATGGGAGCACTACGGAGATAATCTCCTACCTATGTCCTATGATGAAACGGTTCTATTTGCAACGCGTTTAGGATAAGCTTTGCTTTTAATAATTCCTATACTTGGAAATAACAAGTGGGGTATTACAAGATACTCTTAATGGGAAGTCACCTATGTTGAGTGAGGAATGCGGTCGTTCCTATGAGAATTTTCTGAATGGCTTAGTTCTCTAAAGCACTCATGTGAAACCTAAAATTGTTCAGGGCCAAAATGAACACAGCTGAGCAAGTGTCTAGATGAGTATTGTGTGATTACTATTGTCTTGGTTTACACAAACTGTAACAACTCGTCCCGATAGAAGGGGGTATTTTTGTGAAATTACACCTTAGGCTAGATCTTTTTCTTTTAAAATTTGTTTTTGGGTCTTAATTGGTGAGCCCAAGGGGCCTACCCCCTGTTTTTTCTCTGGTTCCCTTCCCCTTTTCCTTCTTTTTCTGATTTTTTTTATATAACTCTCTCCTTCTCTCCCTTTCGACAACTCTCTCTATTCTTCTCTGATGGACCCCCACACCCACACTCAGTTACACACGCACACCCTAGGACCCTCCCAAGCAAGAACTCGAACCCAGGACAGGTCTGTGGTGCACTACAGAGGTGGAGACCAATATTCTCTTCCTCTCTTGTCGAACTCCAGCGAGTACCTTGAATTTTCAACCTTGGTAAGCTTGATGACTCTCTCTAATCTTCCTATTGATCGATCAAACTCTACTTAGGACTTATTTTAGGTGCTTTGTTGAAAGTTTGTTGTGAGAAACAACTCAAAGGTTTATTTCCCAGTTTTACAAGCGAGTCTGACGGCTTTCGAGCCAATTTCCAGCCAAACCATGGAGAGTTGGCCAGTGTGAAAGTATGAATCTCTTTGTCTCACTGAGTACTACAACTTTCCTTTTTGTTTCACCCAATTTCGTTAAGTATTGAAGAAGTTATACTCATTTGAATCTTACCCAGTTTCTAGCGACCTCCATGGCTTTTGAGGCGTTTTCCGGTCAAACCATAGTGAGTTAGACATCAGGCAAGGTACCATTCTTTTTGTCTCTTCGAGAACTACAATTTTTATTTTTGAATCACTCAATTTCGTTGAGTATTGACAAAATTATGAGCATTTAAAGTTTGTCCAACTTTCCGGTCGAAATCCGGCCTTACCTTCCGTTTAGCTCCGGCGAGCAGCAACCACACCAGGCCCTTTAGGCTGTGCCAAACCGAGGGCTTAGGCCCGTTTAAACCCAAACCCTTTATTTTAAATTGTTTTTATTTTATTTATTAAACCAAGGCCTTTGGGCCTTATCTAAAACCCTAAACCCTTTCGAATTAGGCTCTCGGGCCGTGTGGGTCTGGACTCGAGCCCAGAGATCTCTTAACCCAATCCTAAAACCCCTAAGCCTAACCCACCTATTTATCTAAACCCTAAAACCCAAATTCTAAACCCTTTTCCCTATTTCCCACAAACCCTAAACCCTAAAGCCCTAAACCTAAACCCTAACCCTAAACCAGCCGACTAGGTTTGACCAAACCGATTGACCTGTTGACTTTAACCCGTTGACTTTGACTTTGACCGGTCAACGTTCAACGTTGACTTTAGGATTGACTTTTCGGGACTTCATTCGGGACCCCTCCTAAGCTAATTTCGACGTCCTGAATCCGTTTCCGACGTCTATTTTCCCAAATTCAATTGTTATAGTAGAGTTTTATTAATTGGACTATTTATGTGCTTAGGGGCAATATTTGTCACGTTTCCATGATTTGCTAGTTTGCGTGGCTCTTCGGCGGCTAAGTATCTGTGAGTGGACCATTCTAAAATTGCATGTTTTGATAGTAGAAATGCATACATGAAAAATATGATTTAATGATTATGTTCTATGAAACGCTTTGAGATAACATTCTTACTGAGGCTAAATTGAATTACTACTATTTTTCCTATAACATGTGTTCTTATAGAATATCCAATGGATGACGATATGATATTTATAACATGTTTCGAACACCTCTTTATAATATAGATGATGGATGACTTTATACTATGAAGTTGCTTTTCAATATATATATGTTCAATGGTTTTGTACTTACCTAATGGTCCTTTCCGCTACGGGACGTAGGGATAAATTCTGGTCCATTCCGGATGACGGTTTGGTATTGGCATAGGGCCTGGAGTGTGTTTCCTCTGGCTATTAGCACAGGGAAGGGGAGCCGACATGGGGCTTGGAGTGTATTTTCCTTTGACTGTCTGCTCAGAGACAAGGAGCTGACATGGGGCTTGGGGGTTATCGGACATTCACTAGTGATTATTGTAATACAAGTTATGATTTGAGACATTGCATATCATGCTAGGTTTCGGAAACCTATGTTATCATGATATATGAGTTTTCATAAAACCTGGGGGTTAGTACGTTGATAACTGTTTAACTATATATATATATCAACTTGGTCTACTCATGTTTGTTTTGTGCTCCCTTTAGGACTTAGAATCGAGGCATACAATCCCTGCGTCAAGGCACTTCCGCATTGGCATCTTCAAGTCATCTTGGTGTGGGACCCATTCTTTTATTTATTCAATTTTATATTATTTCTTTTAGTATTCTAGTTAATTGTATGCTCTGAACACGTTCCTTAAATGCATATTCTTTATTCTTTTATATTTATAAACCTTATCTATTCCTTGTTTTCAACATTTGCACTCAATAAATGGCTTTTGTCACGCTCGGGTGTTGGAGAAATATCGGGATCAGGGCGTGTCACAAACGGCTGAGCAGTTCAAGACATCTCGTTCACTAATTAG